GTATGTATTACAGTTCCGAATAATTGGGGTGTTTAGTCAAGATTATTGCAATAGCAAATTTTCGACAATATCTGACAATTAATTAGCTTAAACACTAACGACTTTTTCAATATCTTTTGATTTCAACTGTGTTTTTAACCTCCCCCTCAAACTGTTCCCATTGTCACGCTCTCTTGGGGTCTGCTGTTACGACTATCTGTCGTGATTCACGCAATTTCTAGACTTTCCAACTTGATGACGCTAGCGCTCTGCCAATCCCAATCCTCATAGCTACAATCGTCGTTGCTTCGACGATTGCATACAAATTGCTGCCGTTTATTCTGAAACTTGCATACACTATAATGTCAACTAAATAGGAGTATATACGGCTTGAAAAGGTCATATGACTCTTGTAAATAATATCATAACCTGATGTCATTTTTCTTGGTTCAAATTAATATTAATTATCATTATGCAACTGCGTACAGAGTATCTAGTAGTCGTTTGACAATCCCATTTGAATGCTTCAAGTCAGGCTTGGGTTTTTTTGTGAGTTTCTGACTAATTGACATGCAATTTTGTTTGTTTCTCCGATTGTTAAAAATTTACTTTGAGATTAGTTCCGTCAAAGCATGATATGAGTTGATAAGACCTTAGTAATTGCTGTGGCTAAGACATTATCATTTAATTAAAGTAAATACATTACGCTAATTCACTGCAAGGCATGCTTAGATATTTTCTTACGTTATATGTTAGACTTTCCATTCTAAATAAAATGTTAAAAGTAAGCTGCAAAATGTTTAAAAACCTAATGATTCATGTCACTTGTTAATTCAAATCTGTTTCCATTAACTTTTATAGAACACAGTTAATTTCCTGTCTGGAAATCAATTTCAATTTGTTTTTGTTCAGTTTTGATTTCAAACCGACTGCAACAAGCTTTCTATCTTTCCCCAAAACAACAAAGCCAAACAACAACAACACCACACGAAATAAATGTGTAGAATCGCTGAACCGCAGCCTTTCCCTTGCCTAGCCGCACATCTCACTGCTCTCCGCCTCTCTCGCTCCACTCTTTTTCGCAGTGTGCTTAAATAGCTGCATAAATATCAATTAAAAAGCAGAGAACGCAGCAAATAAAGCCAAATAAGCCGAGAGATAGGAACCACACCAGGGGTCTACATAGAGCTCGATGCTTTGAAACTCAATTACCGTTCCCTTAATTACGAAACTTGCACACAAACAAGAGCTAACACAGCTACAGCTAAAGCTGGAGTTACAGCGAGAGCGCGATCATGAGAGGGTATACAAAAATTTGCATTCAACTAGTTGCAGTCGCTTCTCATTTTATATGGCCATGAAGCTGCCGTCTAAGCGGGCAATGCATGCGTGCCAATGCTCCTCTCTCTCTCCCTGCCCCAACTTCTTTTCCCCACACATTCGCACAAAAGCTGGCCACGCAAGTGTGACGCGTTCAGTTGTAGTTGTTGTTGCTGTTGTTGCTGACGTGCTGTTATTGCTGTTGTTGCTGTTACGAGTATTTAGCCAGTCAACCAAAGCTTTTCAACCTTCTCTTCGCTCTCTCAGGTTATGTAAATATCTCAATGTAAACTGTTTATGCATACACATGTACGCATGCACGTATGTATGCATGTCGCATGTCGCATGTTGGGAGTGGGCGTGGTAGACTTGAAAAATTCTTTCACTATGCAGCGCAGACAAATTTCGTTTTTTGGGGTCTCTTGATAATTTTGTCGTAGTTTTATTCATTGGAGGAAGCGCGGCGAACAAAACGAAACAAAAGCAAAAACAACAACCAGTTTGGACTGTATTGTTGTTGGCCTGGCTGCGACGGCGACGGCGACGTAGACTGTGGCTTTGGCTGTGGCAGGGCTAACGGTGCTTAACGTCACCTACTTTTTACTCAGTTTTTGGTAAATAAAATACTTCAGCGGCATGCGATCGAGTGTAAGTGTGTATATGTGTGTGTATGTGTGTGTATGTGTCTAACAGTTAAACCGGTTCCAACAAATTGTGCATTGAAAACGAAATGATTTTAATACCATATTCCCATTGGAAATGGGCAAAAAAAAGGGTATATTGGACTTATGCAAGTTCATGTAACAGGCATTAGAAAGCAGGCAAATGCCGCAAGGTACTGCCGTGCCAAACTCAGAAAGGTCCACAGATATTTTTGGGAAAAAGAATTTCGTATCTCACAATCTATCATATGGGGTAAAGGGATGAAGAAGCACAGCCGTATACGGTAAAGCTTCTTACTGGGTATATACTAGTCGTGCACTGACTAGAACACTTTTACTTATAGAAAGAAGCAAACTGAAGTGTAAGTCAAGAGGCCCCGCTGTTACTTGGCCGAGTTAAGTTGCCCCAAATGCACCTCGCTTTCTAAGACGGGCCCAGCTGGGCAGAATCTGTTAATTGGGTAACATATTTGTCCTCACAAGCTTTTCCATACAACTGCTGGATTAAGAAAAAAACACATTTACGTATTTTAACCAACTCTGCGAAACATGTTCAGTAATTTGAGCGATAAGACACACAGACGTGCCAATATCCAAATAGTCTGTCACCGGAAAAATGAAGAACGAAAAACGAAGAACTCAACTGTTTGACTGTCTACGGAAAAGCGCGTGTCACGGCCAAAGCTTCAAGTCTTCCCAGTATACAAGTTCCGATACTCTGTTCACAAAGCGAAAAGAGCATATTGGGTTTGTACAAGATCTGGAAAGACAGTTTTTTACATCGCTTGAAACTAGAAAACTGAAAATTGAATGGAGATTATTGATATAATATTCAGATTATAGAACCCAAAAAGCCTACAAGCGTAATATAGATAAAATAGCTTTAAAAAAACACACAAGAACTCAATTTAAGATTGTTCGAATACACGTCAGCTATATATGCCATATAGGCTTAATATTATAGTAATCCGATTCTGTAGCAAAAATTTTGAATTTTTATAGATTTGGTTAGGATAGTCTCAAAGGACTTTGCTATGTATATATATATATCTCAACTCAGCTTAAATGGTCAACATGGCCTGGAAAAAAACCGGGAAACCCGTAAGCATATACAAATATATATATAAGTATGATCAATATAAGTCGAGGTAGAGCTCCAATATTTTGCCATTCCACTCCGCTTCGTGCGATGCCAGACCAACTCGACCTCTTTTTGCTATATATATACTTAAACCGCCTTATCAGAGGTCTCGTTAAATACGCTACATTACATTACACAGGTAGAAAACTCCTTTACCTTGAGGGGGTAGGGGGGAGAGGGGCCTGCACATGCACAGGAGTTGTTGGAAATTTGCATAGTTTTTCAGCTTGCAGCTGGGAAAACGCCGGGGAAGTCTGAACATTTATAAATAATTATATTATACAGCGCCAGCCACAAACTAAAACATTTTAAATGACTTTCAGTCACGGCAGGTAACAAGTGCACGAACAACAGCAGCAACAACAACAACAACGATAACAAAATTGCATCTAGTTGGGTGGAAGTGGAAGGGGGGGGGGGGGGGGGGCTAAAATGCAAAGTTTGCAACTGCTGTGAAAATTTGCACTGTGATAAGAGCCGTAAATTTTCCAACTGTGATTCCTAATGAGCTTCTACGCGAAGCAATTAGAAAACTTAAAAATTTGTTGCCGTAGCGATTGTCGCCAAATGTCGCAGTGGGCAATTTAAATGGGGCAAAGGTGGCAACAACAACAGCAACAACAACATTTTCACATGAAAAACCACACAGAAAACGCGAAACAGTGAGCTCATGGGAACTCCAGGTGTGGGTGTGCCCAGCTGTTCGAGCGTCATATTGTCATTGTAATCTAACCTTGGCCAAAAGCCGCGTAGCCATGGCCATATTTTAGACAACAGAGCTGAGTTTGTCTTGTGCCTTGTTATCTTAGCCAAACACGCAAGGGATTTTCATTTAATATCATTTCCTTTTCATGGCTTAAAGGTCGCATTTAGATACTCGCACTCGCACTTAGCTTTGACCTAAAAGCTAATTAACAACTCGGCTCTCGCATTTTGGCCAAAATGGGTGCAGCCCTCGTCATGTGGATGACCTATCCAAATGGTTGACCCACTAAATCGCCGAAATGGGAGCATTTAGAGTGGGAGATGCGCCCGTCGAGGCTTACCATGCTATCAATTTAACTAATAGATTTAAAGTTTATTAAATTCGTAAACTTTTTTACCATAAAAAAAAAAATTGGACCAAGTCGCGCTCAAAGTAAAGAAATAAAAATATCTGAAAATAAAACATGGAATGAAATAGAATATTTGTACAGTAAAGCTTCTCTTGAGCGGACACCTGAAAATCCAATTGTTGTCTTGTTTGGCAGTAGAGAGCTTTAACTGTATCTTGAAGTAGAATGTACATAAGTATGAGTCATGTATATGTTCTTTACGCTTTATGCTGGAAGATTGAAATTTGAGCGGGTCAGCAAAATGTTGGGGACAGGAATGTGCAATTGCCATGGAGAGCAATAGGGTAGCTGAAAATCTAAGAAGAACGTCTGAGACTGAGTCATTTGATAAATTGACGATAAGCAAAGCTTTGCAGGTAGAAAAATATTCGATAAGATACGAGCAAGATGCGGTTAAAAGCTTAGCCGAAGCTTATCGGAATTCTCGGCGAGTTTTCGCAACAATTCTAATTGGAAATATTAATAAATAAAATGCAAATGCATGCAAAAGTAAACAAAAGAGGCAAGCAATAAAATTCCAACCAACCTGTAGACAAGTCTAACCTGTTGCTGTTGTTGCTGCCAACGCTACGCCGACGCAAGCTAAAGAACTTTAACTTGAAAGCTTGACTCCGCTCGCTCGCCTCTCTCTCTCTCTCTCTCTCACACAAACGCGCTTTAGCGCGCTCTTACACGCATACACAGCCAGGTAAGCTTGGGAGCAACACGTCTCACAAGAAGAAGCAATATTGAATGATCGTCATGTATGCGAACGACTATGTGTGTATGTGTAAATTTTCTTACGGTTTACACTTTTTCACGGATACTTTTTGCACTTCTTTCAGCTTTTGCTCAAGAAATAAAACGCGCGTCGTTTAACTCCTTACACTGGTCAAATATATCGATTCACCGGCAACGATATTGAAAAACAACCGCACGAACACAGCCCGGCAAGCTACACTTTTACATACACACATGCATATGTATTTGGCTACATAAGCCAAGCTTAAACGGCTTTTAGAGACCTTAACTGACTAAACAACGCTTAAATGTGTATTTATTTGCATGCTGCTCACACTTGTATTGGCGGTGAATTTCTGTTACTTTACGCTGTCGATAAACATTTCAAATGTAGTTTGGTTAAATTTGGTTATTACTAACTTAAATAAAGTTAACAATTCGTTTTTACGCGCGATGCACGTCCGACGCAGTTGATGTTGTTTATGCTTCTAAAAGCAAATTTTGTCTTACGTTACATACACGTAACATTAACAGGTGGCGCTTTTTTAGACATTGGCTTTCTGTTAACGCAAAAGACGAACTGTAAACGCAATATGATTATGTTTCTGTTAAGACACTGTTATTAACAGGTCAAACGATATCGATAACCGAGTCAATTTTGCGTCGACTTGTGAGAAGAAATTCCGTAAGCGCGCCCACTTTTCCTTATCAGTATGCTGAAAAAAGCGCTAAAAAATTAAAACACAAATCGACAGAAATTGCAGTAAAGTAGAGTACATTGAAACCAGCAGCTAACGATCGAATTTACCATGTTACCATCAAAAATGGGTCAAATAAGATAGAAGAACCTAGTACAAATCAATGTCAAAATAAGAATATTATGTATAATCTTGATCGGCATCAAAATTAAGCAATTGTGTCGCGAATACCCAAAAAGTAATTCAATTGCAAAACGAGAATATGTACATTTTTGCGGCTACTTCTACTACAGTTCAATGTAAAGACGATCTTCGACGACGATTGTTAATGATTTACGATTACAATTTCGATTACTACATATCAATATAATATCGTTTCGAATCGAGTAAGAAATCCCCGACAATGTTTCAAGATTTTGATAAGTATTGTGAAATTATAAAGTAGGCTCTGGATTTGTTAACTGTTTGATATTGGACGACTCCATTTCAGCACGAATTCTTATCAATTCAAAGTCGAACTTGTAAATGTACAGTGCTGTATAACAAGCAAAAAACGCATTCTTAAACACGCACACAAGTATACTGTGTCCCTGCCTGTGGCTTCTGCAGCATTTTGCTTTTATCTCTTTCAGTGTGCGCAGCTCGACTTGTCTGCTACAAGTTTGGTTTTCTTCGTGATTACTAGACGAATTCGTTTAACTCAATTTGTTTAAGATTCTCAAAGAGCAGCAGTATGTAAGCATAATGCATGCATGTATTCTCCTAAACACACAAGCAACAACTAACACATATTCGTCTTGCGGATAACTGTTATTCTAACAACTCGAGCTTTTTTAAGTCTACCTTTTCAGTTCTGCAAATATACATAGATAGCATCATTAGAATGGCGCCGAAAAAGCACAATGGTTTCATGATGTTTGTTCAGGAATGGCGCAAAAACGATTCGGAAGGCCGAAAAATGTCCATGCCCCAAGCCGTCAGTAAATGCGGCGAGTTATGGAAAGTAAGTACGGGCAGAACAGACTACGGCAACTATATAATGCTGGGTCTTTACAGAGAATGAACGCACAGCAACGAGGCCCGTACAACGGATCCGCCAAAGACGCAGATGTGGTAACGCGTTGCAAGGTGGAGCGCATGAACTGCCACGGCCAAGCCCTCTCCGCTGTGCAGCGAGAGGAGCGGGAGGCGGCTGATCGCCAAATGGTCATGAAGCGCAAAATTGAGCGCATGGTGCTAGACGGCAAGGCGCAACATGGTAAGCTGCTATCACTTACATTCCTGCTCTTACTGATTTGAGTTGTTCCCCCTCACAAAGATCTGGAGAACACGAAGTTCATTTTTGCGGCTTTCAATTACTTTACCAAGGCAATCACAAATGATATTTACATACCTGCCGAGTTTGCTGCCTGCGAGTTTGCCTTGAAGTCGGGCAAGACCTCGCTCTACAGCTCGCATATCAATCCAGGTGAGTGAGGTTCATCTACGCTGCTCCGATAATTAACTGCTTTGCTCCTCGCACAGGACAGCTTATTTTTGGACAGGGCAGCGACACGCAACATCACACGTCCAATACGCATCAGTTGCCGCTGCCACCGAATGCCTTAGGAGAAGCAGACATAGGCAGGCTTTATGTGAGCATTGTGGAGTATTTGCGTGGCTGCCAGGACGGCGCCGGCCATCCCAACGATCCGTTGGTGGTCTTTACAAGCTCCGAGCTTGTGCCTGTGGTGCGAGGCTGCTTTAGATACCTGGAAAGCGATTGCGATGAGGTGCAGGAGAACATTGAAGTCTACGACATACAGTACCTGTTCTATGTGCTCAAAAAGGAGGTCATGGACATTGCCGATCTGCCCAACGAGCATATAAACAAGAGCATTACCGATAATTTGTTCGTCAATGATTTTTTTGAGTATCATTCGGGCATATCGTGTCAGGTTAGTTGACTACATCTGAAAAGAGTTCCCAAATAATAGTTACCTCTAATCTCTAGTTTCACGAGGACAACGATCGTGGCAAATACTGCACCCAGTCGAAGGTTGCCCGTTGGTGTTACCTATTCAGCGACTATATGTGCGGCGATCTTGCGATCAAACCTCTGCCTGGCAAGCACATGCCGCCCAGGCAGGAGCCCAAGTTCAGGGTGATCAATCCTGAAGAGCCGAGTGAGAACAGTTCCTTCTCCAGAATGACCAGGTCTGAAAAGTCGAGTGGCAACACCTCCTTCGCCTCAATTAGCTCGCTTCAGACGGAAGTGAAGCACGAGATAGTTGATCATTCGGCCTTTTCTGCCAACCTTAACGCATCGGACGACTTTCCCACTCTGGGTGGCCGCAGAGGCAAGCGCAATGCCGAGCCGTTGGCCAAAAGTTTCGCTACACGCGATGCAAAAGGCGTTTGGAATGTGCCTGCCACAAACTGTAGTGTTAAGGATTTAGGAGATGCGTTCAACATGCCCCGGCGATAAGTAGAAGCTAATCTTAAACTGACTCGAATGCAAACATATATTCTTGAGCGTGAGCATTTGTTAATCTATTTTCTAATAATTCTTAAATAAATCATTTATATTACGTTTGCTAAATGAAATTAAATATGAAGTTGAAAGGATCAATCTAAATTTAAAACCATTTCTTTGCATTGTTTTATTATAATATAACACGCGAAGGGGCGTGGAAATCGTGAATGAGACGAATCAAAAATGGCGGAAGTCTCACCTGTGCGTACAGGTAAGAAGAGCGAGTGAGAAAGAACAACAAACGTGCGACCCAGTAAAATAGCCTGTATGTGTGTATGTACGCAAGTGTGTGTGTGTGCGTTGCATACTGCGGCCTGAGCAAAGAAATAATACGCAATGATACATGTGCATATGTATGTATGTTAGTATCTATATACATATGTATGTTACGCTCTTTGTTTAAACAATTACGTATATTTGTATTAAAACATACATTAAAGATTTAAATGCCACAGTTATTTAACACTTTCATAAACGCATAAGCTAATTTACAGCTAACGTCTATGAGCTTACAGAAGTATGTGTGTGTGTGAGTGGTTCATTAGTGTTTGTTTATCTTGTTTTACAGCACTGCACAATGATAGGTTAAATTTGAATTGAAATTACATAGGTATGTGTTTTCGTTGGCACGAGCAGAGGTACAATGGACACCTATCGCATTCGCAAGTTGCATCCTTTGAATTTAATGCATGTAATAATATATGCTTTGTCTAATTACTAAAATAGGTTGGATGTACAGCTGGAGCTTGTAAAAATTTGCTGTGGCAACACTTCCCAAGAGCATATGTACATAGCGACATCCATTTGTACACAAATGCAAATACATGCATGTATGTGTGCAAGTGTTCATACATTGAACATGCAACACCGCTATTTGATATTTTGAGTGGGAAACCGGCCAAAATGTCCAAGATCAGTAAAAAGCGAACTGATTGTATTCCAGATGTTTTCGAGCTATTGCCAATTCGCGAATATCGATGCGAATTCGAATGCGGCAAGGTATTCAAGAACCGCAGTCCTTACGAGCTGCACTTGCGAAAGAAACATGGCGTTGACATCAAGGAGAATATATATATATCCTTTCGATGCCCGGTCGAAAATTGCGATTATTTGGGCAGACGTCTAAACCTGGTGCGTCGGCATTACCAGAGCCATCATATGGAGAAAAAATACAACTGCGCCGCCTGCAATCGAAAGTTCTTAACGGAATCGCAGTTCCTGAAGCACAGATGCGAGGTCCAGATCTATTCCTGCCAAAGGTGCTCCAGGACATTCAATTTATTGAGCATGCGGAACAGGCACGTCAAACAGTGCGTCAAAAAAGCAACTGCCCCAACGCCGTTGCCTAATGCCAGCGAGGACGACGAAAGGGAGGACAACGGTACGACTTCATCCTCCACGTTAGCTGCATATTTAAATACTCTATGTCCACATTTTCAAGATCAAGAATATCTTTGTCCCCCCAGGTGCAGATGTTGACACTATCGAAAAAGTGGATGCCGACCCAACTATCGACGAGTTCGAGCAACTGCTGCGGAATATTGAAAACAATGTCGTTAATGATCCCGCATTGATCGAGGAGCTGGCAGTATTAACCCCGATCCTGCAGAGTTTACAAACATAAATCGCTTCGGACCGAAATATGTAATTGCTGTGAACTAAATGTTAAGTTTTTATTTTATTTTGCACTCAAAGTGAATTTATGTTTTAATTATAAGTCTAAAGTTCTGGAAAAATTAGATTTTAAATAAAGTATTGAATGTTAGAAATTTCAAGTAAGAGAATAAAGTTTCTTTATTAAGTTATTGTTATTGTTTTTATATTCAATAAGAATTTAATTGTTTTCCTTTAAAGTTTAAGGTATTTCATAAGTCTGTCTGTTTCCATATAAACTAGTCTTTCAGTTTTAAGGCAATGCATTTTTAATAGATTTGTATTTTTGAATTGGATCGGATCACTATATCATATAGCTGACATAGAATTGATCGTTCGATAATTAAGTTATTGTACGTACGACCTTTTTCTTCAGGATACATGGAATTTTAATCAACATTTAAGTTCTGTATGATATAGCTTTAGAATCGGTCGTAGTTCTTGAACCAAATCGTTTTTAATCTTCGGCGTGTCCAACTTAGCCTAGTATCTAACTATTAAAAGAAAACACAGGAAAGTTCGGAGCCTAGAGCCTTAAAGATCATATTTCATATGTACATTTTCGTATACTATACCCAATAGATAACTTCCGGTAAAGTATATCGCAGCCAGTATATGCCACGTTCATGCTGTAATCCTTTAGTTGGAAGTTCACGAAGAAGGAAGACACGGGCTTCATTCTAATCCAACTAAAAATCAATTCAATTTTAACTTCTAATAAATGATACAATAAACATAACCATTTAAGCAAGGTCCACTTTATGACTAAAGACAACTTATATTTAATAGTAGCATAATTAATGAAGTTGTAGTAGATTGAACCCTTTCGGGAAAAGTGGAGACAAAGGTTCTTCATGGTGGAATTTTCGTGCTGAAGCTCTACGTCCTACAAACCAACTCAATCTTCAACTGAGAGCAGAAAGGTAACGGAGTCGATTAAAATAGCTTAACGGACGAACATTATAAAGCCTTCCATGTATCCATAGAAGTATGAATAAGACCCATCTTCATAGAGAACTAGCAAAACGGGTGCCTAAGGCCAATCTGAACTTTCAATGTTAATACCCCTTCTCTTCCAATAAGAGGAAGGCACTGTAGGGAAGTGTATAACTTCCCAATGAGTAGAAATAACAAGCAATAAAAATGTGCGATCGGAATCTCCCTTATAAATCACCATGGATAAACGTCTTCCAATCTCGAAAAAGAATATGATAAGTATTCATATTGGTCACATAGTAACCATACAGCAAAGTTCAGAAAACCTCCCCAATCTTAAGTCCTCCTAACCCATTGTTGGGATTTGATCACAACATGATGCTGACCAATAATATACACTTGAATCCTTATGTACAAAGGGGTATGACCCTTATTTCAAATCAATTTTCAATGGGTACAGGGTATACTTAATACTACGCTCTTATGACTTATCCTATCTTATTTTTTTTTTTCATTTGTAAAATCAATACCAGAATACTTAATATTCTCTCTGAAGCATAGCGCTCTTTAAAATCAATTCCATAGGCTCTTAGTTTCTTAGCAAATTGTACAATTACAGACTAAGTTGTTTAATACAATTAATAGTAGTTATTGGGTAAATAACTTCCGTATCCATCATGCCATGGGATCAGGCTATCACATTCCCAGGCTGATGAATGGTACTGATAGGCAAAGTGGTGTTCCCGCGAATAATTGACCATCTGACTTGGGAATTCGCTACGGCCTTGTAAACGATGCCGCAAGTCAGTTTCTGGCAAGTAATTGAACTTCGTTATTTCCAAACGGTGTCGCAAATCATGTTGAGGTAGTTCGTATTGTGATTGCTGGAAGCTCATGGGTTCCTGTAATTGATAGTAAGATGCAGGTGCAGGTCCATAATGGTAGCTGTTGTACGTGGTGTGCAAGGCAACTGATGAAATATGGGATGGAATTGGATGAGAGCTTCCTTCTCCGACGGCATGGTTGTTGTTAGCCGGCAGCACTCGCGAAAAACGGCTTGAAACCGTAGAAATTGAAGAAACGGAGTTGGAAAATTCCACATTTTGTGAAATTGGTCTTGAAAGCTCAACATTTGGTATAGCTGATTTAACAGAGACTTCATTGAGTGAAACTGAACTTTTTTGCACTTTTTTGTGCTTGTGCGTGGGTTTCCGATGATTAAGTCTCTCCTTGGAGTCATCTAACGCACCTCGAGATCTTGGTGAGGAAACGTCTGGGGAACAATCTCGAGTACATCGTTTTTTGCTTAAACCTTTGACATCGCTTTTATGGGAAGTCCTTAAGGATAATATTGCCTGTTTACTGGCGCGACTGCTGCTTCTGGAATATTTTAAGGTAACGCTTCTCATGGGACTAATTGATTGTTGCCTTGATGATGTATTTCCGTGATCCATTTTGTGCCTGCTTGTATCTGTTTTGCGACATTCTTGTTTTCTGTCATACTTTTCTCTTCGTGGACTAAGTGAGGGTCTGCGGCTCAAGCCAGAACTATAGTTTTGCCTTCTAGGTGAAATACTGTTGTCACGTGAAGCATTTCGGTCCCTGATTGTACGATTTGAAGAACGAGATCGCCCACGTGCGTTTCTTCTATGCAAGGAAATTCTTTGATGACGTCGGCCATCGCGATTTAAGGACCGTGAACGGGAGCGTGAGCTAGAGCGCCAACGTGATTGTGAGTGAATTTCTCGACGATATAGTCTATCTCTTTCCCTGTCAGGCGAAAGACGCCTCTGATGCCCGATAGATCGGCTCGAAGAAACACTTTTATCATGTATCACATCTATTACGGTCTTGGTTTTTGAATGGGGTCGTAAATTCAGACATTCGCTTTCTTCCGATTTGTTTACGAAGGACCCATCTGTTTCTTCCAAAGATATCTCATTAATACTAAATTGATCGCTATCACAATCACTCTGAAGTTTTTTTGGTCTTCGCGTAAATATGGCACAGTCATCTGCGAGGTCTTCAACTATACTCGGGGGCGGCGGCGGCGCTTTTTCAAAATCATCCGCCTTATCCAATACGATCTCTTCGATCTTTACACGTTCATCATCCATAATACTTTCTCCATCATCTTCCCCTAATTTTGCATGCTTCAAATGATCTGCATCTAATCCCCAGCTATCGTCCTCTTCAAAAATGTTATCCAAATCAAGACTATTAAGAGCATCTAACGCATCTGGATTTATAAATTCCTCATCATCCAGCATAGGTTCTTCCTTTATGTGTGTCACCTCTGATGGCTCAGGGTTTTCACTGCTTCTATGGTTAGCTTCTTGCATATTCACAAGATCCTTCTGCTTATCATTGTTCGGTGGCTGATCCATGTCTAGACGGTTCTCGGTATGGCTGGGCATGTGACGATTTGTAAGCATTTTAATTGCCAAGTCAGAGCACATGTAACCAGCAAAAGCGAAGGCCCAGCGCGTAACATACGATTTAGAGCAATGTGCCGAAAGATCGCGCTGCTTGTGGAATTCGCAACCGATGTCCGACAGAAATTCATACGGATCCAGATTGAATTGGGAATTAGTGATATGTATGGATGCTGGAGGCGGCAACATGCCAGCCTCACACGTCGCTTTCTTCAATATATAGAAAAGATATTCGATGGGGTAGACATTAAACTGGCTCTCCACGCCCCCATTAAGAAACTTAAGGGAACTGTTGACAACTGATATTTGGTTTTGCACAGTAAACACGGGCGGAAGTTCACCCTCCGGTCCACATTCCGATCGTACGAACTTGAGCAAATCTGCCAGAATACCTTCTAAGTCGTCATTACCCAAGGCATTTGGTGGAAGCGGCAACTGATGCGTGGCCTTCACATGCTGCTGGTTCTTATATAGTGATCCATGGACACTGGAGCCTGAAAGCAAACACAGTTTAGTTAGCCACTGAGCACATGAGGCTGCGTATCTGTACCAGGATTGATCAGGGTATGATATATATTCCGTAAGCCATGCTTCAGAGTGAACTGGACAACGGCCAGTTCCGCGGGCGCATAGACGTCCTTTGTGTAGTAATTAACCATAATGAAATAATAGCTTTGGGTTTCCAATACTGTTCGCTGGGCACTATATCGCACAATATTTTCTATTTCACTTCGCTGCTGCTGCTCCGGGTCAATGTTTCTCTGCAACTGTGTACTGGGAACTGTGCCCGCTTTCAGTTGACGTGCTGCGTCGTGGTATGGCTGGCGCTCCTCTGGACTCATTTTCTAGAGCGCACAAGGAGAGAGTAAGGAATGCATTTTTATTTATGTCATTTCAAATACCTGCCACGCCAGTCCGGCCAAATGGATGCACTCCTCCCACTGCAGATTGTGCCCTCTCAGTTTGCGCCATTCGTGCACAAACAAGGAAAACGCCGATTGTTTGCTATTCTCCTGGCGCCCCATCGATGCTCCTCGTCATATCCAACTACCTTTGCAGAGCTGCTAGCTTGTTCATGTGTGAGCGACCAAAACACATGCTGGTTGAACTGGGAACGTGAACGTGTTCCCTTTTAATTGTTCCTTTTCTTTTGATGTGAATGCAACGCGAATCTTTTCTTGAGAATTTCCAAAATAAAGTGCTTGTTGAATAAAATGTCATATTCAGTTTTAACACAAATATAAACAAATGCATATGAATATTACACATTACTTTCAGATGTTAAGCTGTTTATGGATATAATTTTGTAGAATTCATAATTGTATTTGTTATAAGCAGTTCTTTTATAATACCGAACCACTCAACATGTTCACAAATCTAAACCACGCACAACGCTAACATTGCCCAGACACAATAAACTTATTTAAAATGGTATTTGGCAACGCGAATTGATTTATTCTTTTAAAAATATACATTTAATAATGTTTAGTTAGAGTGATGCATCAAAAAGCAAGCGGCGTAAATGAAAGCCGGCGAAAAATGGCTTAACAGCTGTAATCTGCGAAATTACAGAACAGCTGATGCTTTAACATACCTACCGATTAACATATGTAAACTTAACAGCTGTTAACTGTAACAACAGAGCGATAACAGAACAGCTGGAGCTCTAAATAGCTATCGATTATTTTGCTATTAGCTATCTATCGCCTATGCTGACCCCTTATCCTTTTGTTTAGTTTTTGTTGTATAATTCAGCTATCAAAATCACAAATTTAAAATTTATTTTATTTTTCCTAGTGTAATAGAGATGCGTACAGATTTAAATATAAGCCGATAGTTTAATTACACGATACTTAATTGGAGATGTTACTCTTCACCGTCCAGTACTTGTGACTAGTAACTCTTAAAAATGAAGAGCTCATCTCTAACGTGAACGTGGAAGGGACTGGAAAGAAAAACACACGTCAAAAATTCTTAACACTAAGAGCAAAAACAATCATTTAAAGCGTTTTTCAATGCACTTGATCCAAAATTTAAAGGGCTTGCAATAGGATTTGTTCAACAAGCTGCCCACGTTCAGCATCGACTGCCAAACAGCATTGCTGGTGACTAAGCGACAAGCAATATTACTTCAGGCGCAGGCATAGGCGGAGCCAGCCACGAAAACATTTTACAATCAATAATAAAAGACAGCAAATAGGCGCAGCGTCACCAATACCATGTCCAACAATGCAGCGGGACCCACAAAACAGGAAATCGAAGCCGTGTTCAGTCGCCTGCGGGCGCAACCTGCCAACAAGGTAAGCTTGTGCAAAAGTGTTCCCACTTCCAATTTTAATTAACGGGACTTTTCATGTTTTGCAGTCTTGCTTCGATTGTGCAACAAAAGCGCCCACCTGGTCCTCTGTCACGTATGGCATCTTCATATGCATCGACTGTTCCGCCGTGCATCGCAATCTCGGCGTGCATTTGACCTTTGTGCGGAGCACCAATCTGGACACCAACTGGACTTGGCTGCAGCTGCGGCAAATGCAACTGGGCGGCAATGCCAATGCCGCGCAATTCTTTCGCTCTCACAATTGCAGCAGCAGCGACGCCCAAGTCAAATACAATTCCAGGGCGGCTCAGCTGTACCGCGACAAGCTGGCGGCGCAGGCACAGCAGGCGATGAAGGTCTACGGCACCAAGGTGAGCATTTGACCTCTCTCTTCTGCTCTCATGTTCCATTTTTGTTGAAATTTTGTGCTTGAACTATTTAACACTGAAACCAACTAACACAAAACATTTGCCGTTCTCGCTTGCGCTTCACTTGTATCTTGTTTCTCTGTTCCCACACTCACACGCACACACACACGCAAAGCTGCACATGGACACGACGGCGGATAAGAGCGAGGGCAATGATGCCGCCAAGGAGGACCAGGAGGAGGAAGACTTTTTTGCGCAATGCGATAACATAAATGCCAACGCGCACCTGGAGAACAACAACATCAGCCTGGCGGCCAACGATGTAAAGGTGAAGCCAACATTAAAACACGCATTCCTTGCTAGAGTTAAAGTTGAAGTTGACGTTGATTTGCTTCCACCGACCGGAACCGAAAAGAACTCGTTACTTATTTGGGCCGCCTTTTTTTTTACAGCTGGAGACCAAGCCTGCGGTGGAGCCCAACATAAGTGTTGGAGTCGGTGCGCCCAGCGTCGATCTTCTCAACTCGATTGTGGCCCCCTCAGCGGTGCCCTCGTCTATAGGTGTCCGCAAAATACAGCCCAAGAAAGGAGCAGTAAGTAAACCGTACAAAGAAATTGAAACAAAATAAAACTAAAAACCACCTCTCAGCTGGGCGCACGCAAGGTGGGTGGACTGGGCGCGACGAAGGTGACGACTAACTTCGCGGACATTGAAGCGCGCGCCAATGCGGCAAATGAGAGTAAAACGGCAGCAGCTGCTGCAGGACCTGTTGAGAAGTCACAGACCGCAGAGGAGGAAATGGAAACTGTGGCGAGCATGCGTTTGGCATACCAAGATCTGTCGCTTCAGAAGACGCGCGAGGAGGCCAAGCTAAAGAGCATCGATCCCGCCAAGGCCAAGCAAATGGAACGGCTGGGCATGGGCTTCAACTTGCGGGGCTCTGACGTGGCGCACTCCGCCTTAAGCGACATGGAGACCATACAGCAATCCGCTGCCCCCAAGACCAGCGCGCAGAGCAAACTAGCTGCGCTGGAGAATGAAAACTTCTTCAATGACCATTCGTTGAATTTGTACAGCGGCGGTGGCGATAAGAAGGAGAGCTCGAGCGGCACCAGCAAGTTGGACAAATTCGAATTGGATGCGCTGGGATATGAGAAGATTGAGCCCATTGGTGGCTCGCACAGCAACATCACGTCCATGTTCGCTGCCGGCAGTGATTACGACAAGTCCAATGCGCGGAGCACCGGAGCAGCAGCCAGCAAGAGCAAAAGCAAAAGCACCATCAACAGCAATGATCCCATCGTGGCACAACAAAAGTTCGGTAACTCCAAGGGCTTCGGCTCTGATCAGTACTTTGCGAGCGAACAATCTTCGTCGGATATTAGCGCCAATCTGAATCGGTTCCAGGGCTCGCGTGCCATATCTTCTTCAGACTACTTCGGGGACGGTGCCCCAGGAGGTGGCATGAACAATCGCGGTATTAAATGCACTTATAAGACATCGAATTAATTGTAAATAGCATTGAATATGACTTCAATTGTTCGGTTACAGGCAGCGGCGGTTACAACACTGGGGTTAACTTTAATGCACCCGATTTGGACGATGTGAAGGAGAGTGTGCGCCAGGGCGTGCACAAGGTGGCCGGCCGGCTGAGCAACCTGGCCAACGATGTCATGACCTCGCTGCAGGATAAATATGGTTACTGATAGCGCCAACATCAGCAATAACAGAAACCGGAGTTAACCGTTTAATGATTTTTATATAATATATGTCACTCCAATTTAGAATATGTCAAAAAAGTTATAAACAATTCCAAGCCGAATGCTGTGTAGCGTTGAATTTGAGAATCGATATCAAAAGATTCTTGTAGAAACAACACCGTAAAGTTAAACGTAGTGTCTTCAGCATCATATTACAGAAATACATTGTACAACTTGTGCATTATATGCAGATGAAAAATAAGCATAGTTATTTTAACAAATGATGATATCACAATTATGGAACAACCATTAGCTCTTAAGTCGCATCGATAGCCGCTGTTTTTGTATGACATTTGTTTTTTATTATTGTATTGTATCTGCATAAGGCATTTCTAAGTTTTAATACTTTGTTGATCTTGAAATTTGGTTCCGAATGAAGTTAAAACTGCGGGTATTTTTTTTATAAAAGAAAACGAAAGAAATATTATATAATAAATTCAAAATACGCTGCGTAAGGCAAATATGGCTTTCCAAGCACTAAACAAAAACGTGAGTGTCTTTTTTTTTATTTAAAACAGAAAGAACTTTTATTAAAATGCGCTCGGAAACGTTTACAATTTGGCTAATAATTACAAAAATCTTTGATTACAGACTCGGCGCAGACTCGAAATGAAAGTATCGTTGCACCTGGCGATGCATTAGCAAGAATTGGTGGTGGACATTCAAGTGGCGTCGCAATGGGAATGAGCGTCAGTCAGGGAGCAGGTGGGCAGCTGTTTAATGGCGACGCTTGCTGGGACTGGGACGGACACGAGCGCGTACGGCTTCCGGCGAGCCGTAGGCAATGGCGTGCGATGTGGCAGAGCCGCCCTCACCCGTGCTGAAAGAGTTGGCAATGGCGATGGCGCCGCCCGTGGTGCCACCAAAGTTTACTGGGAAGAATGTGCCAGCCGGCAGAGGAGCGGGCTTCTGTCCTGGCTTGCCAGCAGTGCCAATGGGCTTCTTGACAGCGGGACGGCGGGCGTTGGGCACGCGAGCGGGACGCTTAGCGACGGGCTTGATGGGCTCGGAGAACTCCTCATCATCCTCTTCGACATCATCGGCAACAGCATTCTCGGCCTCTTCATCCTCAAAAGCAGCCACCTGGGCCTCGGCATCTTCGGCAGACTGGTCCAGCTCGACGATGACCTTCTTCTTGGCGGGCAGATAACGGTTGGCGGGTACAACGGCGGCAACGGGCGCAATTGGAGCCGGTGCGGGCAGCTCATCCTCGTCAACGGTTGCCACTGGTGCTGGTTCCTCGGCGGCAAAGTTGAAGTCGCGAGGCACCTTGGCGGCATCGTCGCTTACGGACACAGCCGATTGAGTGTCGGCATCGGCGCTGTTGCTGCTATCGACGGCAATCTGCACCACGGGTGCCTCATCGGGATAGGCTTCGGCCACAGAGCTGGCACCGCCGGCAGCGCTCAGGGCATCATCAGCCTGGGCGGTCTCCGAGCTGATGTCATCCACACTGACTGCCACATCGGACTCTGCGTGATCGCAATCTTTGTTAGATAAGCAGGAGAATTGCAGGTAAGTTGGGCTTGTTAGTGGTTAACAATTCCTGGTCGGGCCACTGGCATGCTTACCCTTGAGATATGTGCCGGTGGCAACGGTTTCACCGGCCACAAGTGCGCTTGCCGCCTGAGTGGAGCGTGCATGAGTGCGTCCTGGCTGCACGTACTGCATGTACATTATTCTCTGCTGGGGGGCGGCACCGTACCATTCGGCGGCGGCCGGTTGTTGATAAAAGGCCATTCCTGGAACAAGGTATTGCCGATCTTCAGTGCGTGCAGTTCAAAGGCATGCGGATGGGTATGGGTTATGGAGATGTTATGGAACGAAAATATGCATGAGAACTATGAATTATGGAAGTGGCAATGCACATTTTTTATACCCTTTTCATGAAATGTATAATACTTAGAAGGAGACTTTTTCTTTTCCCCATAAGGTATATATAAGCTAGATCAGACTTGATATAGCCATGTCCCTCTGTCTGTTTCTATGCGAACTAGTCTCTCAGTTTTAAAGCTATCGCCTTGATACTTAGCATAGGTACTTCTTCCTGTTGCAGGCAGTACATATATTGGAACTGGCCGGATCGGATTACTATATCTCATAGCTACCATAGGAACGATCGGTCGAAAAGTAGATTGTTGTATAAAAAACTTTTTTGTTTATCAAGATATCTTGAGCAAACTCGGCATTTTTAATTTGCACTATGCTCCCAACATATATGCAATATCTTATCAATATCGGACCACTATATCATATAGCTACCATATGAATCATCGGTCGAAAAGAAGGTTTTTATATAAAAAAAACTTCTTTGTTTATCAAGATACCTTAAAGAAACACGGCATTTATTAGTTTTACTATGCTTCCTACATATATGCGAAATCTTATCAATATCGGACTACTATATTATATAGCTGCCTTAGGAACGATAGGTCGAAAAGTTGGTTCTGATATATAAACCTTTTTTAATATTGATTATTAGTTCCATTATGATCCTCGTATATATATGCAAAATCTTATCAACATCGGACCACTATATCATATAGGAAAGATCGTTGGAATAGTATTTTCTTATAAGGCAAAATACTCTGTTTTCTATGTGAAATGTTTAAAAATGGAATGGAAATCATTCAAGGTACTTGAAGACATTGATTAGAAATATAATTAAACAGAAGAGTAAATGTAATTGTGAACGTATTTTGTTGTATAGTGTTGTCCTTTAGAACAATTTCACTTGGTTAACTCACTTTTCCTGGCTGGCAAGGCATCGCCGCTGGCCACAAAACCGACGATCACCAGCAAAGCAAACGCAGCACTGAACTTCATGTTGGGACTGATGTTTGGTTATTTGTCTTAAAGTCCTTCGATATGGCAATTTGTGTTATATATACTTTTTATGTTATTTGTTACGCGCACTGGATCACAGCAGGAGCTAAACTTGACACTTAAGTTTCCACCAAAGAAGTGATGACTGGCCAACGCAACGCGTTAGATTTATATACGAAATCAGATTGGCAAAAAAAAACTACAAAATGAGCATAATGAGCTGTTGCTAAAACTCGGATATACCCAAAGTGGAGCCTCTCAGCGCCCCTATTTAGTATGCGGCATGCGTTCTCCCCGGGATCGAGTCGACTCGAGTCCGAACGTGCGAACCGCCCGTTGCCTGGTTGCGGTGCGGATCATTGGATAGCCCCAGCTGAATTTGGATTATTAAATTGTATATATAGGCGGGTGTAGATGATTGGAGACCGGTTCCATTATATTCACAATGTTGCACGTTCCAGCTGTCAGTTATGGATCTTCTTATGGGCAATGCGATCAGACAAATATGATAAATTCTTCGAAAGGAATTTTCGATTTGGCATTTTAATTTTTGTCTATTAATACCATAAATAAATACAGCACGCATGTTGAACGTAACCATAAAATTGCCAATTCAATTTAAGGTCATTTCGTAGACCCTTGGACATTGTACTATCCCAAAAATCGAGGTTTATGGGTGCGTGTGCGGTTTATCGCCATTGATAAAAGCGAACCGCTTAGAGAATTAAAATAAAGCCCAAAGACATGCACTGCATTAATTAGCTGGCGGGATGGTCAATCGCAACTGGCTCCACAGCGGAAGAGGAACTCTGCGTGGATAAGAACTCTGTGATTCATCCTGATACATAAATAACTAGTAACTCCTCCATTGCCAATCATCTAGCCGCTGACTCAACCGTCCAGCTACGTCTTCCCTGGGCGCCACCTGTTTCCTTTTAAAACTCAATTATTGCAGCTACCATCCCGCCTCCTCCCATCAATATCACGACGTGCACTCAATCATTAATCGAGCGGTGTCTGCGCCTCGCTCTTAACGGCTGTTGCCTTCTCCTGAAGGCACCTTTCAGCAGGTTTTTTTTCGCTGGCCTCAATTTGCAGATGCATTAATCATACGCAATGCCGTAATTTACCTCGTACGAAGCAGCCTAATCTAGCTATAAGTGGGTCTTCTCTCTTCTCTCAGGAACTATTCACGAGGGTCGCCTTTTATATTGTGCAAGTTGTCAGAAAATTGATTTGAATCAAACTAGCTTATCCCCTATATGAATCTAGGTTCAGGTTCGGTCTTTGGTTTGCCACATTTTAACATTTTTCTATAGAACTAAATTGAAAAATAATTTAATGTATTGCATGTATTTTTATGCCCTTGTAGAGGGTATTTTGAAGTGAAGTATAGAAGAAGACAACTCCGACCCCATAAGATATATATACTCTAGATTAGCATGAACAGCAGAGTTGATATAGTCAGGTTTGTCTGTATCATCTTGATACTTTGCATAGGACCATATTTCTGTCGCAGGAAATACATATATCGGAACTAGCCGGATCGGACTACTATATCATATAGCTGCCATAAGAAATATCGGTCGAAAATTAAGTTGTTGTATTAAAAATGTCCTTGTTTATCAAGATATCTTGACCAAAACCGCCAGCTACCATTTAAACTGTGATGTTTATATATGTGTTAAGTCTTATCAAGAACGCTTTACTATATTATATAGCTCTATAGGAAGAATCGGCCGAAGAATAGGTTTTTGTATGGTAAAATATTCCGTTTTCCATACATTTTTTCTCAAACTCAGCATTTACGAGCTGCACTTTTCTCACCCATATGTAAAAAACTATAGGGCAAATGTCTACAAGGGTATTAAATCTTCGGCATGCTGAAGATATCCTTACTTCCTCGTTTATCTTTTTTTGCTAATCGGGTTTTGTTTAGGCGGTTCTTTATCCAACTAAAACGTTTTATGGTTCAGTTTGTGGTAGATATATTCGTAATTCGGGGCTTAAACTGGTTTGGTTTTAGGGCTTGTAGACTTGCTGTTAAGACAAGTGTGCGTCGTTTAAAATTCTGGCAATGAAGCACCAGACTTGGCTACCGTGAAACGTTAGTACAGCTATCTTAGCCCGACCTTCGTAGCGGTTGTTGTGCTAAAAATTGATATGAAAGGTCGTCACGTGACATAGCACGAAGGTATTGGGACATCGTTGAGTGGGACTAATATGTATACGACATTACATGAATATGTGATTGCCAGGAAGTTTTCAGAGTGGTTCGGACGGATTTAAGCCTTTAAGCCATTCTGAATGATAACTTGGCCTAATTTCAAATGTAGACACACAAGACAAAAGTCAACCCTCGTTGCGGAAAATCTTTGACTTACTAAAATGCCTTTTGATAAGCTCTCTATTGCCGTCGTATCAAATATCGATTTGATAAAGTGAGAAATGAAAGACAAAGAGTCAATTTTTTCATAAAGCTCGTGACTTCTGATGTCATATTCATAATTGTCGGGAAATTTGGTAGCTAACGCAGCTTATTTTGCATGCGTGTAATGATTTTTTTCGATTTGGCAAATGTCCATAAATTAAAAACCGTTTATCGATTGAATATTATAGAATTGGGTAATATTCTAGGCATGCGGCAATAAACATAATTCGAAATTAGAAAGCTTCAATGACGTGAATAACCAATTAGTGCGGGAACTTTGGAAGCTTGGCCCATAATAATGTTACACCTTTAATGGCCACAATCTTGTGAGCGCTTGTCTTATTACCAAATATGAAGGTATTTTGGCCATTTTGTTAATTTGGGTAGCTTCTCAAATGGGCCACCAAGGCATTTATATTTATCTGAACCACTTTATGATTTAACCAAAGCACACGCCTAATTGCCGGGTTTTTATGCAAATTGTTAAACAGTTTTCGAACAAAGAAAAAAAAAAAAGAGCTTGTGCTCAGCATGGTAATGGCCATAGTTAAGAGGGTTCTACGCAATAGTTTGGCTAAAAAAGAAAACAGTCAACAGCCAAAAATTTAATATCCTGTTGAACACCTGTTTATTTGTTGCCGCCATTGGCCATTTATGCTAATTCCCAGCTACTTCTGAGGCAGTTGGCAATTTACGTTTCATTTAATTCCCGAATTTAGAACACCCAAGACCATTAAAATAAAATATCCAATGCACTAGATGGCCAGCCCGAGCCACATATAACAACATGTTTTCTGCTCCCCAAAAGGCGTATATATATGTATATATATATATATACATTTATATGTATTCCAAATAAAACAAAAAAGCAACTTAATGTACGACATTATTGGCGTTACGCATACCGAATTTCAATGAAATTTACGCGGTGCTTAAAAAGCAATTTGCTGAACAGTCGGATCGAAACTGGATATTTAGATGTTAAAATTCGAGCACCCGAACCGCAATAGCTTTGCATTTCTTTTTGGCCAGATATGTGCTGGGGTATTGCAGTCCAATTTAAATGACATTTGGCTCAAAACTCGCTCGTTGTCTTGATATACATGCAGCTGGAATACTTCTCTATAAATGTAGAGCCCCATCCATGAGAGCTTGAGGGTTTAAATCTTGACTAAACCAGCCGTTTGGCTCGAAGGTGAGCATTAAGACGGAGTCTTGGTAAATTCCACCTACAAGTGGGCAAAAGTCTGGTTTGTATAAAAGAAAACATCCAGAACAAAGCAGCCTCAAGTGGGCATGCGCCTGCGTGGCTGGTGCGGCAGGCCGCTGGTTCAAATCTAGCTATAGTTTATATGTTTAAAAAAGTAATTATACGAGATTTACTTATTATAATAATAATAATAATAATAATAATAATAATAATAATAATAATAATAATAATAATAATAATAATAATAATAATAATAATAATAATAATAATAATAATAATAATAATAATAATAATAATAATAATAATAGTAATAATATTAATAATAATAATATTAATAATAATTATAATAATAATAATAATAATACTAATACTTATACTTATACTAATACTAATAATAATATTAATTATAATTATAATCATATACTACACTTGCATTTCGAAGATTATTCATTTGATTCGTGCAATGCCGGGTAATTTCAACAAGTACATACATATACTACAATCTTTTATGCTACACATTTTATATTATTTTAATTTACAATTAACACGCACATGCTGTACAAATTGCATTAAATATATATAAATATGTATATTTATATATGTAACTGACATTTTACACTTGGCATGCGGTTTTCGGCGTGCGCAAAGTTCTCGGCCATATGCCACGGCCTATACGACATTTCATCTCGCCTGACAATGCAATTAATCAACGTAAATTAAAATAAACTTAATTTTATGCAGCCGTCATTGTGGTGAATGCATTTTTCCAACACTTTTCTTATTTAAAATCCACTTGGAAATTAACCGTTGCAGTTTGTGGGTGGGAAGGGGAAGGGATGGAGCTCATTTACAGCTTGCAACGGTAAAGATGATAAAATATGTGATCTGAAACGGGTCAAGTTAGTGGCTAGATCGACTCGACACCCCATCGTACCCCTTTTAGCCATTTCTTTGGATTCAGGGTACAATAAAAAAGTAATCAGCGTTTAAACAACAAGAACAAGCAGCTAAATATAGAAAACGACTTTAAAACGGTAATAAAAGACTGACATATCATCTTCTTTTATTATTACTCAATGGGGAACAAAGAAAGGATGAGAAAAGGCGTAAGAGCGCGAGAGTGTGATCTACGCATTCCAATATATGTACATGCATACATACATATGCACACGTATGCTTGCAAACGAGAGAGGCGATGTGCAGTCAAACGAAAGCAAAAACAGCAAGCGGCTTAGCCTCAGAGCTGCCAGAGCAAGCGCATAAGACGAAAATGAACAAAATTTACAGTTCACAAACATTCACTGGCAATAAAACAAAAGTAACGGGGAAGTCAAACAGAATCAGTGAATTGGTGTTTAAGACGCCGGTCTCTTAATAAAAATCGAATAAAAAGTGTATTACAATTGCATAAAAATCGGGAAAATAAATTTAAATATATCACGCAAGTGTCTTGTTTGTGCAAATCAATAAATGTACATATATAAAATAACGTTATAAAAAGTGACCCCACACTCCACTTAAGCCTCAAGGCGAAAATATGCACATATGGCCGCAGCAGTGATTAAGTGCATCCCATGGCCAGTGTATGTGATGGTAACGGGAAATATATTTCTGGCCAGACGGGCATCCAGCCTTAGCAATAGTCAGATTTCTCGCGGCTTGTCACTTAAAAGTTGGCAATTAAATATGTACATATGTATGTATGTACAAGTTTTCTTGTTGTTGTTGCAGTTATTATTTCTCATGCCGAATGTATAGTAGATACAAAAAGTTGCATAAAATTGTTTTCGTTTCGTTTTCGGGATGTACGTTGATCCCTAATTAGTCAGTCAGGCAGAAAAATATTTTTTTTTGTCAAAAGTTTTAATGTATAAATGGAACAAAGCCATTATGTAGCTAAAAATGTGAAACGGTAATGTGAGTGACTTTTTGTCTTCTTGTCTTATTACTCAATGGAACAACGCGAAGGATGAGAAACGGCGAGAGTGCGGTATAGTGTGATCTATCTACATACATACATATGTAAGTACATATGTATGTATTCATAGATTTTTGCTTCCCCACGTCAGCAAAAGAGCGGCGTTGAGCAGTTATAGAGAAACAACAACAACAAGCGGATTACATACTAAGCCACTAGAGAAAGAGCACAAAACGAAAATGAACAAAAATTTAAAGTTCACAAGCATTCACTCGCAATAAAACAAAAGTAAGTAAGAGTGAATTAGTGTTTAAGACGCCGGCGTCTTATTAAAAATCGGATACAAAAGTGGTTTACAATTGAATAAAAATCGTGAAATTAAATCAAATAATATAAACGCAGGTGTTATGTTTGTGCAACCCAATAAATTTATATAAAATTACGTTGTAAAAAAGTGCCCTCACACTCGAATTTAACCGCAAAGCGAAACTCTGCACAGATGGTCGCAGCAGTGATTAAGTGCATCCCATGGCCAGTGTATGTGATGGCAACGGGAAATAGATTTCTGGCCGGACGGGCACCCAGCCTTAGGAATGGTCATTTTTTTCGCTGCTTGTCACTTGAAAGTTGGCAATTAAATATATGTATGTATGTACGAATTTTCTTGTTGTTGTTTTTTTTTCGTCTATGTAATTTTATAAATTGTTGCAATATACATAAATAAGTAAGAGGGGCCGATCGGCAATGAGATACCCTGTAGCCAGCTTTGCAAAATGATTTTCGCAGTTTTATTCTTTTTCCCCAATGCGACTCTTAAGAGAATTCATTCTTAAACGAACGGTAAAAACTTTCATGGCCAAAGGATTTTAGTCAAATACATATACAATGTATATATGTACATATGTAAATGGAATTATAAGAACGAAAAAAAAAACTCATCTCTGCTTTGCCTGCTTTCTGCACTGAACTGTTACTCAATTGACGGCCGATTGCTTGTATAAGAGCTATACAATTAATATGCATATGTACATAGTATTGCGACGTGTATAAGATTATGTTTATATGTACTTATGTTAGAAAAAAGCTCAATTGGTAGTCTTTTTTTTTATTAATATCTAACTAGCGGGTAATAACTTCTGACTTAGAAGATTACTCTCTAAAGATCGATCCACTAATATATTCAATAAATCCACTGGGACGTGGCAAATTGATATCATATAATTATTTAATTTATTTTTTAATTTTTAGCAAGTGTATCCACTTTTTGAATATTATTACATGTTTAAGTTGGAGACACTTCCTGCTGCCCATAACACACAGATGCACAACGGCACTATAGCCCTTTTTTTAAATTTCATATGGGTACAGGGTAGTAAAAGAAAAAAATGCAACAGATGTTTTTAGCGTTTGGCCGGACTGCAGTTGGAAACGATGCGAAACATGCAAAGCAGTTGGCATCTCCACCTTATTCAGAATTTATTTTCACACTCTCTAGAGGACAACTTTTGCTGGGTGCCACATGGCCGCAGGTCCTGTATATGCGTTAGCCTTAGTGTGTGTGTGTGTGTGTGTGTGTGTGTTTGACTGTGGCGCAGTCAAGATGTTGCCATTCTCCATGTCTGCTGCAGCTTTAATGGCTTCATATTTCCTGCAAAATTAGAGAAGTTACTTTTGCTTACACTGCGAGTTGGCTACTCGACAGTTGCACTTTGCTGCCTGCTGCCCGTTGCCCGCTCCTAGATCCTTTTCAGGTTGTGTCTTTGTGCTTCGGCTGCAAGTTTGGTTGCAAGTTGGTCGCTGCTCGCTGCTCATTATGTGCCGCACACAGACATGCACAGAAGATACAGCGTCTACTCCATTAAATTGTAATTTTTGGCAACATTTCGGTTTGCATAAATCTTGGCCCGTGGTGTAGTTTCTTGCTTTCTAGTTGTTACCCAACAGTCCCAAGTGTCCTCCTGCCGCACGCGCTCGCAAACAAAACATTTGCTTATGTTTCAAGTTTATTAAAAAGTACTCAACATATTATGGTTGCTTAAACTATTAAAATAATGCTCCGACTTGCCATGTTTCTCTCTCTGCCTCTGGGCGAGTGTCTGGGTGTGACATGCCCTTAGGGAATTTGTGTGCCTGGGCCTGGCCATCCTTTGGCTGCCTTCTGTAGATAATGTGTAAATAATTTGAATGCAGACAATGAGTTGAACTGTTGGCAAGTGTCGCAGCTGCTACTGAACAGCCGCATTGTGATTGTGCTGCACTGTGTACTATGTACTAGTGTGAGCTGCATACCTTGCCAATTTGAGGCCTATTAACTATTGCAACCAGTACTACCTGCTGCTTTAAGGCCGGCCATATGCCCTTTAATTACAAAAGGAGAGCACATTACTGCTAATGGCAGGCCACGTACCATTTAAATCCATTTAAAATGCACATTTGCATATGTCAAGTGCGAATGGAGTGCCAACGATGACACCTACGCTGGCGTCCCTGCAGCTTGCCAGTCTACCGTCCAGCATCCGGCATCCGGCTTCCAGCATTGCCCACTTTGTTGATGCGTATTAAAAACACACTTAAATACTGAAAGCGACGGCAAAGCTCGTCGCTTCCACATCTCAGCTGAATTGGCGGCTGCATTGCTAATTACGTAGCAAGAATTTTCATTACGTGGGCGGAGCAGCCGGCACTAACTGGGGAACGACCGTGCAGGCGGGCACAGAAGCCCTCGAGTGCAGCGTAATGAAATCTTAGCCAGCTTGCGGGTCGACCCGTAATGGGAGCGCAAAATTTATTAGAAAATATTTACGTAGCACTTCAGAAATTGTGTGCGCTTCAAAGTAGGCAATGACATTAAAGTGCAGCAGTCGTCACTCGCTGCTTCTACTCGCTACTATGGTAAATCTGGGGTTGGAGCTCGGCAGTTGGTAACTCGGTAATTTAAAGGAAATACTGAAAATATTTTCAAATATGCCTGTTAAAGTTTTACGGCTCCATGATACTTTAACCTCCCGCCATCTCGATTTCTCTTTTTCTTTATCTCTCTGCCTATTTATTTGTGTGCGGCTAAACATTAGTGGTCACATGTGATTGTTGTTGTTGTTGCCGTGTCGTGTCCAGTTTGTTGCTCTCGTTGGTTTTTGCGGCTTTTAGGCAACCTATTTGTTTTGTGACACTATCGCCGCTCGTTGTTCTTATCGCCTCGCTTTTAACCCGGGGGAGTCAGTCGGCGGGCCTGCATTGACATGTGTCTAGCCCAGCCTAGGAGGAGCATGCATGCTATACCTAGAACCCATTTCAGCTGTCCCATTGTATGTCACGCTGCAGTTGTGTTTTTGTATTCGTTTTTGGTTCGACCTGTTTCACCCCAAGTTTACCGCTTGTTTTTTGTTGCAACTTCAATTTATTTTATGGTCAATTTTCGGTTCTGCCTCGTGCCTCGTATGACCAAAAACTTTTCTAATGAGCCCAATACACAGTTTGGGGCTTGTTTGAGGCTTGCCTGCAGGATGCACCACAATAAGCATACATAATTGCATGTGTTTTACTTCCGGCCAACAATTGTGATTGTTGTCATATGCTTGTTGTGAAGAGCTCAGATAAAAGCATGTTTAAAGGGACCTATAAACAAAACATATCTTTAAATCTTCAAAACTAAAACATGACATTTATCGATTTCGAGGAAAAGTGGGCAATTATCGAAAACATATGCTCGATCGATGTCGAAATTCTGCATTTTCACCTCTCTGAATTTAAGAACCAGGGTTTCTAGTATGGTATATGCAGATAAAGTAAAATTTATTTTGTCTATTAAATTATACCTTATTAATATATATTATAAATTAAAATAAATTATTTTAAAATATGTTCCAGAATTTGTGACTTGAGAAAATAACTAATTTAAGAAATACAAAAAGTGTGTGGATATAATAATTTAATTCTATACATTTTAGAACCAAGGTTTGCTCCAAATCGAACCTACGAATAATTTTGTTGGGCTTGCAACCTTGATGCTTGGGCATAATATTCGAGATTTTTAATGTTTTGAGACCCGAAAAAAAGGTTTAGAGATTGCAGAAAACGGCGACATTTATTTTTTTTTAATGACTTGGTTGGGCAAGCAATGTGACGACAATTGGGATGACGGGATTGAGAATGAGAATGGAAATGGAAATGGGAATAAGAATGACAGTGGTAATGGGTTGCTGGGGGCGAAGAGAAAGCGTTGATGTTGATGACGAAAAAAGGGCAATTGAGGAGCAGCAACTCGTATAAGGCTTTGAATTGATTTCACTTTACTGTGTGGGATTCTTGCCCGCTCCGCACACACATACACGAAGCGGAAGCGGAAGTCATGTTGTGCTACAATGGCCGCTTCTTGTGCCGTCATACTGAAGGTAGACAGTTTTTTTCTTCTCGACCTCTGTCTCTGACGGGGTCTGCACGTCTGCGCAATTTCAAAGCAATTGCAAACGTTTACCAAGGCGCATACAAAAGTAAAGTACGAGTAAAGCAAAATAAAGCGGAAGTGTTTTTCAAGTCTTTTAGTCTCTTTTTGCAGTTGGTGAAAGTCTTTTTAATTGAAGTGGACACACACACACACACATAGACGAACAGGGTTAGCAATATAGTGGACATAGATACACTCTGTTACTGTATTTTATATTCAATGATGCAGCAAGCGGTCAACTCCTTTGACTTCTTGCAACGCGCTGCAAAAGGAGTTTTCTTTTCAAAGTGGCCGGCAACAAACAAGAAAGAATGGAGAAAAAACATTAGTAAAGGCTGAGCACAGTCTGAAAGAGCCGTGCAGAAAAGAACAGCGTTGTCCACTTGTACCCGGCCGTGTATGTCATTAAAATTTACAATCTATTTTGCTTGCTAATTGGCACTTGGCAATGCCAGCTTTGTGCTCGAAGCACTAGCTGCCTAGGTAGCCAGCCAGCCAGCCAGTCGGCCAACTAGCCAGTCCGAAGCTAGATCCTGGCCATAATCATTACTTGCATCGTGAACAGACTTGGGCCGGCAATTAGTGACAAGCCAAGATGTGGCAGCAAATGTTGCGTGAGCTTTTAATTATGGCCAAGTGTTGATTATGGCGACAACTAAGCGCCCGGCAAATGCCACTGACAATTCGACTAAGTGTGGCAATAAATGCCACAGCAGTAGCTAGTGAAAAGGACAACACGGGGCTGCAATTATTGTTGCCCACTTAAAAGTAAGCATTTAAGCACTTTTTCAATGGCTGTGCAATTTTTAATGTGTGTGCGATCAATTACAAAACTGAAAGGCCACGCATTACCCAGCCAAAAACGGCACAGTTACAAGCAATAACGAGTTGGAAGCCCCACATTCCACAGTCTCCCATAGTCTGCATTCTCCACATACATCGGGTTCCCCACAGTCGGTCCGCTGCATTCCCCACAGTCAAACCAAACTGAACCACAAAAGTCAAGCCCCATGCACAAGTGCGTGTGTGTGTGTGTGTGTGAAGCGGGGGTGCGTGAATGTGTGGATGGATGATTTCCACTTTGCCCAGTGAGTCAGTCAGGCTGGCAGCCACAATCCTTCATTGTTGTTGCAGGCAGCAGCAGCAGCAGCAGCAGCGACGCTGGCGATAAAATAAATTTGCATATGAATTGAGAATTAA